CTGAGTCTGGCCATTGGGCTGTAGCCCATGATTTGGCAGGATGGACTTGGAAGGGTTACAATTGGAAAGTTGGTAACAAGAAGGTCTGGGGAAGAGATGCATGAAAAGAGGTACGTGGGCAAAGAATGTGAAGATACTTGTGTCTTGTGCAAATGCTCACTAAATGGTGACCTCAGCAGAGAAGGATTTTAGTACAAGTGGATAGGATGACCCATTCTGTGGATACCAGTCCACCTCTTTCTCCAGTCACTGCTCAGTGGGCTCATGAACAAAGTGGTCAAGTAGCAGGGGCCCAGCAACACAGCTTAACATTTGTTGTGGCCAGCCTGGCTACAGTCACTGCTGAGGGCCCAGTCTGCTGCAGAAGAACCCCAAACTGAGTCCCTTACATAGCACCATTCTCCATGGTGATTAGGAACATCACAGGGTTAATTGCACCAGACCATTTCCATCATGGAGGGGGCAGCATTTTGTTCTTACCAAAACAGTTAATCTGGATTTGCTTTCCCTGCGTGCTATGCTTTCGCTGGAACTACCATCCATGGACTTAAAGAATGCTTTATCCACCATCATGGTGATCCACACAGCATTGCTTCTAACCCAGAAACTCACTTTATAGTCAATAGCATGTGACAGTGGGGCCATGGTGATGGAATTCGCTGACCTTAGCATGTCCCCATAAGCTTAAAGCAGCTGACTTGATAGAACAAAGGAATGGCCTTTTAAAAACTCAGGTTACAGCATCAACGAAGTAGCAATACCTTGGACTGCAGCAGTGTCCTCCAGAAGGCTATATACGCTCTAAATATGGTGCTGATTTTCCCACAACCACCTTTCATAGCTCTAGGAATCAAGGGTATGAAAATGAAGTCGCACCATCCACTATTACTCCTAGGGATTCACTTGCAAAATTTTTACTCCTGTTCCTGAGACCTTATTATGCTCTGCCGATCTAGAGGTCTTAGTTCCAAGTGAAGAAGGCTTCCACCAGGAGACAGCAATGATCTCCTTGAACTGGAAGTTGAGACTGCCCCCCAGTCTCTTGGGGTCCTCAAGCCTCTGCATCAAAGAGCAAAGAATGGAATTATTATACAAGTAGAGTAATTCGTTCTCATTACCAAGGGAAAATGGTGTTTCTATTGCATCATGGAGGTTAAGGAAGACCATGTTTGAAATGTAGACTTCTTAGGGCATTGCTTAGTCCTGCCATGTCCTGTGATCAAAATCAATGGAAAACTACAGAAACCAAATTGAGACAATGGTTTGGTTCACCTTCCTGGGCTTAGAACCATGAACAGCTAAGGTGCTTAATGACAGCAAAGTTAATATAGAATTGATAATGAAAGAAGATAGCTATAAATACCAGCTGCAACCACATGACCAGATGAAGAAACGAGAATTGCAAGTTATGAGAATTTTTTTTATTTGACAGTCTCACTATGTCACCTTCGTAGAGTGCTGTGGCATCACAACTCACAGCAACTTCAAACTCTGGGTTTAAATGATTCTTTGCCTCAGCCTCCCAAGTAGTTGGGACTATAGGCGTCCGCCACAACGCAGGCTATTTTTTTTGTTGCAGTTGTCATTGCTGTTTAGCTGGCCCAGGCCAGGTTTGAACCCGCCAGCCTGGGTGTATGTGGCCGGTGCCCTACCCACTTGCTATGGGGCCTGCCCAGTTATGAGCATTTCTTCCTCATGCTATGTGTGTGTAGCAAATATTTTTATATTCTTCTCTCGTATTCCGTATTATCTAACCTAAGATGTATTAATAATGGCTATATATCACAACATTGAAGTTACAGGATATCAAGAACAAACACAGGTGGCA